TAAAGAAAAAACAGCATTTGTAGACGTAATGCTTACTTTTAACGACTCTATCATCCTCCGACTTGTTTGAAGGAGAGTTAGGCATGCTAGACAAAAATCAGTCTTTGACAAATTGCCGATTGGTCTTTCCGGAAAAGGCGGCTCCCAACTCGACTTTCAGTGTAAAGGTTATTTGCACACTAAAACAAAAAGGTCATTTATTTCAAAAATTTAGTCACAACAACGCTTCTGCAATTTTTAATTGCAAAATTGATATGTATATCTATTTGTAGCATATAGGACAGTTTAAGCAGAAGATTCTTAAGGAAATTAATGATTATCATTCTGTTCAAATTGCATTATCTTTTTCTTGAGCCAACTTGTTATTGTTGCAAATATTTTGTTTGCTTCAAAAGTACACATTAAACTTATTTTTGAAGGACTTCATAAGTCCATCCTGTTAAACTTACTAAAGTAATATTTCGCTTCTAGAAAAGTCAGATCATAATTTATGTTTTTAACTTGCTAGTCCATTTGCGTAGTATTGACAGCTTAATATTGCAAAACAAAATTGCAAAAGTGGTGTTGAAAATGTGGCAAAAATTTTAAGTATGATTGTAATGGCAGTACAAAATTCTAATCTAGTTATGTAAACAATTTCAAATTTCCAAGGTTACTAGAGTTAGTAGGCATTATAATATTTATAAAAAAAACAGACCTAACGAAACATATGAGTCAACACGCAGAGAATAACTTCAATTTCGTCTATAATTTTTTGTGAAAACATGATAAAAGGTTTTTTTTTAATTTGAGTTGCTGAGCCAGAATGATTCGTAAGTCATTGAAAGTAAGTAACCAGCCCTATTAACGGTTTGATTAGGTGCGATCGAAATACTAATGAGCATTCTTAAGCACATCTTATGTACACAAATTGCTCATTCAAAGTCACTCTTCATAAATAAGTTATGTTGGGCCTGTTATTTCGGCTTGGCAACAAAAAGGTCAACGAAATTTTAACTGGGGCAAACCTATTGGCCTTAAAGTGGTAATCACGTTATGCCTGTTTAGAGCAAGATTTTGGACAGACCTTATTGTGCCGTATTTAGTTACATTAAAACGACACCATGGCTTATTTAGTCGTTGTTAAAGTTGCCCCTAGAAAAAATTCTTTCCTGTTTGCACAACAGTTTGAAAAATGAGACTTTCCTTAAACTCAACGCGTGGATCATTAAAGATAATATTCGAGACGTTGGGACAATGCTTAAAATATAATGGTCTTTCATGCAGCAGCCTCCGAAATGCGAATTTAGGATCTCCGTAAACACATCTACGTGTAACTGTCTAGGTTGAAATGAAAGTCATAGTTTTATCAATTCACCACTAGAGATGAGAGGCGGAGTTATTCAACATTCAACACTATAAAAGCAATATTTAGCAGCTACCTGCAGAATATCGATAATCAGCGTCCGGCAAATGTGCGAAAATCTTAATTTTGAGCTTGTGACTTTGATTAGAGCCCATAAAAAGTCAGCATTTGCGCAAATAAATATTGAGAGTGTCGTTCGAGATGTAACTTTTTATCCTAGGCAGCAAATAACTTTCATTTATATTTTGGCGTATTACAAGATTGGACTGTCGCAAATGTTGGGTACCATAGAATCCTCGACTACTATTAATTAGGACCATTTGGTTGACAAGATCAAGATTACCAGAACCAGTCGCAACTTGCAGACATTCGATAGCTGATCCTGAATTTCTCCCATACCGTTGGTGAATCGCATTTCGTGGTGACTGCGTAGGAATTTGTATTTGTGAACTTAGGTGTTGTAAAATGAAGCTATAAACCCATTAATTGCAGTCACGACTAATTTTTTGGAATACAATTTAAACAAACAAGAATGTCTCTAATTATTTTGCAATTAAATCCTCATATGGCTTTTTTGGTTCATTTCGAACAATAGAAGTTAATTTTAACCAACCAAAAGTATCATATCATTTGAGGAACACACACTTCCCCTCTTTTATGTTATTTTAGAAATACCTTTTGCCCTTTACATCCACTCACTGTTGTGAGTAGTGAGGTTATTTAAGCACAAAACTTCATCGCCTAGTGGATTGTGGTGAATTTGAATAGGAAACCGTAATTCGGAAATCCTGCAACGTCTTTTTACGCAACATTAACTATGTTAATCCGGCACCTGATTTCATACCTTTTTTTGCGAAATTGTTTCTTAACAAGACTTATGTTCGATAAAATGCCAAAAACCAGCTGACCTTAGGTGTAAATAGTCTTAACAATTAAGGAACGGTGAAATAAAGCTGCTTAAATATTTGGGTTTGTGTCGTTTGGTCCTCAGTTAAGCGTATAATTATAAGGCTACCTTTACGTGAACTCAAATGTCCAGTGCTACAGAATTTTGCAGAATGCATGTGTTCAGTTAAACCTTCTAAGCTGTCTGTGAGTTATTGCGACGATTACCAAGCTAACATGAGCCGTTTTCACTAGATTCCGAGAATCATCCTCACTAGACATGAGCGAACAGTTCTTACGTCTAAATTCACTATCCAGGCGTTTAGTCTCAAGTAGTATTTCAGTGTAAGCAAATAATAAATGATGTTGACTGCGCAAAACGCGAAATATTACGACTAAATAAAGGATGAGTCTACACTGATTTGGGTTTACGTGCTTTCCCTGTCTCTACAGGGAATCTCGTCTCACAGGAATTAAATCTACCCACAGTAAGACGCATATATAAGTGGTAGATTTCGGTGCACTTTAACAGACCAACGTTTGCACCCGACAATTCTCTCCTCGAACACAGAATCTTACATGAGGCATCGGCTGGTATTTAGCGTTGTCCATGATACTGAAAGTTATTTCATACCAAGGGCAAACGCAGACGTTGTTGACCTCGTATTTGTGTTTATCGACAAAGAGGCCTTATTTAGCAGATCAGCTGAAAGAGTCCATATTAGTGAACGAAAATGCTGACAGATTCCGGGAATGTGAGCCGCGAGTCTGAACGATACTAATCAGCAATGAAGTTAACACACGTCTCCTTCTCTGGAGGTAATTGAAACTGATAGAGGGGAGGTTTGGCGACAATAAAGGTAAATTCTGACTAATTTTAAATAAGTGGTCAATGGTGTGGTGGCAGGTGACGAGCCGATTGTAACGTCAGACGCCCACCCAGAGTGCTTTTACGCTCTCTCGTCACGTGTTGATGTGACTTTTAATGATGGAGGCATCAGGTAGTGAAATAGAAAGACGATTGGGTAAGATCTTTAATCTCGAGTAGTGGGAAAAAAGTGGATATTTTGCGGTTTTACCGCTTGGTGATAGTTCGCACATCAGGGGTAAAATGTAAGTGGCCTGTGCTGTTGTAGCAATACTGCGGAAATGCGACAGCGGCTCCTATCAGTACAAGGACAATGGCGTGGCTAAATCCTTGGTTTGGTACCTTTTGGTGTCAGAAGTGAATTCTTATTGGAAATTTACTGAAGAATAATTGGCCTCAAGTCTTTGCAGAAAAAGCGCTGCGGATTAGGCCAGACAAGCTTCACGACTAGAAATTAGCTTACTACTCAAGATGCCGATCCGAATCTCGAATCATTCGCCAAGGCCCCTATGACACTAGTGGAAGATGGTGGACTGTCATCCACAAAAGCTTCGTTAAGTCCTTGAGGGATCTGGCGTTCTGCCAGTCGCGCACACTTCCATGCTCAGTACGTCCATGGGACACTTCATTGGTACGGGAGTGAATGCTGATTTAAGTTATTGATTTAATTTTTGGTCAATATGATCCGTGGATCGGATTGGTGCATGTTAGATAAATGTGCTAAGTTTGAAGTGAAAGATGTCTTTGGAATAAAGCCTCACTTGCCAACCACACAGAGTACAGCCACTTCTCATAGAAAACTTGATGCAACCAGCCCTGACAGCCATCGTCTCTTTTCGCCAACGAGGTCCTCCTGAGCACACAATGGTTGGATTTTGGTATTTTCTGCTTTTTATTAGGTTTCTAAAAGTCTAATGCAAATTAAGTTGTCTGTGGGCGTACTTTGTCTGCCTCCAACCTAGCGGAATGACTGAACTAGGCTCTGCTCTCGTCAAGCATTTGAGTCCACGTTCTCGAAGCAGTCAACGAGTGTGTTGTGGTCAACTGAAAGCAAGGAACCTCAGCCCTAAATCGTCTGCTAGTCTGTGAAACGACGGATTTTGTGGTGTCTAACTGTCACCCCTCCATTCCACCTTTTAGTTATTCCTGCGTGCAACCTGGTCCTTATTCAGCTCGGAAGATTCCGATTCAGCCTCCAGCAAGGCGTATCGCATTGTGTGTTCTTGTACGCGTACCGACCGCTTCTAACCTAATTCTGAGCGCTGGCAGCACAAAATTCTAGCCGAGGCACAGACAGCTGTTTCTAGCTTTTATGTCTCGCCCCCTTTCATCACCTGTCAAGATTGCACGAAATAAGCTAATTTTTTGTCCAACCACATGACGATGAGCGTGGGTAATAGCGGCTACCACATGAGCAGCTTGCACGAACGCGCGTGTCTGCAGCCGCCGCCGCCGCCGCTGCCGTCATCGTCGTGTCACTGCCCCCCACAATCCTCCCGCCAGCACACCTCCTCTTCTCTAGCTAAACGCGTGGCACGCCACAGCGCGTTGCCCTGACAACACCCACGCGTCGCCCACCCCACATTCCCCTTCCTTTCGTTTTTCGTTGGCCAATTACCAGCATGAATTACGTATTGAACGCGACTTGTTTGGCCAACCAGACGTGGCCGTGTGTGTGCGAACAGACGCACTGCACGCACGAATGCACGCAAGCAGCTTCGGCGTGTGGTGTTGCATCGGGATAAAGCGAGAGAGGAGGATTGCCTTCCCGCCCGCTAACCAAGACTGTGAGAAAGGAAGCGAAGCAGGGAGTAAAGAGCTCCAGCCACACTTGGAATTGCCGTTGCAGCCTAAACTGTCCATCAGTCACCCAACCTTTTCGTCCACTACCTCAGCTACAATATGGGATGTACACTATCTAAGGAGGAGCGAGACGCCTTAGAGCAGAGTCGTAATATCGACAAAAAGCTTAAAGAGGATGGAATGCAGGCAGCGAAGGATGTTAAACTCCTCCTCCTCGGTGAGTCGCATTTTTGCAGCCTGGAGTGCGTAGGCGTGTGTTGCTGTCTACGTGGCTTTTCGGTGAATACGCGTTTAGGGCACCATGTCTGGGCGAAGAGCTACTTAAATCGGGTTTTACTACTGCATTCCACCAAAATGATGGCATCAGAGACCGTTTTTGTGAGTTCATGGTGCCAGCGACATTCCCGAGGCACTTCCGCGTGCCTCCGTCGTGTTGGGTCTGTTGATGACATTTGGGTGTTTTGCATTGGATCGGACCTTTCTACTTGAGTCGAAATACATTAAACCACGTGAACCTGATCGAGGTAGCGCTGGAAGTGTGTGTCAACAATTTCCTGGTCTCATGAATTGTTTTTTTTTAACTAAATGAAGTACAGACTAAGCCGATCTACCAACGCATCAAATCGCCAATTTATCGATTTTTAATAAAGTAACCAATAAGCATCCGGAAATTGTTAAAATAAAATTACCAGAATCATCCAGCTCATAGCCACTGAAGCCTAGGCTTGCTGTGACCCCGATATTCCACACCTCCATCCGACGAGATGGTAGATTGTTATTGTAACTTCCGCCATTAAGAGGGCGACAAAGTCTTTTTGTATCTTTTTTGGACTAAATTGACCAAGGCACCCAGTTACCAGTTCCTCAATTAGTTAAAATAAGGTTGTACGAGGCGGTAACTACTCTATGGACGACATTTTCATCACGATCGTTATCTGAAACGTGGCGGCGGAGACAATGGCTCCACTTTTAATCGAGAGTGTAAATTAGACGCCTGCACCCAGGCTCATTTCAGCGTACTCCATGGGCTCGAATACGAGTTATTTTAAGTCGTAAGATGCAAAAGGGTTTATCAAAACTCTCTTAAAAGTTCTCGGAACTGCGTAGACATTTTTAAAGAAATGACTGTAAGATGAGTTAGTAAAGAGGATTGGTAAAGCGCAGGCTCTGTCAGCACGTGGGGATAGTGGGGCCGTCTCTGGGATTTTAACCACCGGAAAGAACTGAATTTCGAAGCTGTTGACAGAAGACGCTGTTTGAGAATGAGAAGAGATATCTTGAAAGATCCGCGTCATTGTGATGGCCGTGGGATAGCCTTGAACTTTCAAGAAACCATACGTGACGTTACCCAAGAGAAATATTGTTCATTATTTCCGCGGAGAATGATAACAATTCGGTAATTGTTCAATTAAACAAGAAGGTAAAGGTGCAGAAACTGTAATAGGCCTCAGTCATTTTCGATTTCTGCAAGCGGAATTTACTGGCTACGCTTCTAGATTTTTTGTTTGTTCACAGACAAAGCCTATTTTACGCTAGATTGCAGTAGTTCATTGCCGATAAGGTGGCTTTCTCCTGCTGCCTAGCTACGCTTAACTGATGCAGCACACTCGATCTCCTATTGGCAACTAAGTGCGCGATGTGGGTGAATAATGGGATCTTGATCGTCCCGGAATCTTCATTCCAAAAGGGCCAAAGACTGTTCGGTAGGGGCTTACTTGTGTGTGGTTTTGTCTAACGTCATCCTACAGTATGTGTGCCTTTTTAAGGCCACAAATAGCGCTCTTCAGTGCAGTGAAACTTGGAGTTGCAAGTGAGATGGGTCGCCCTAGCAACGACACCCCACTTCAACAACTGCATCCAGATTTGTCATTTAACAAATCAGATGGTTTTGATAGGGTGTTTTTATCGAAGCTCATCTGTGACTTTTTCGAGGTAATCCCTGCATGTATTTCGGCTGGAGCGTGGTTTAATTCTTCGCACCTTTCGTACCATACAATCGCCAATTTAGCGGATTTACGGTGATTTATATTATGTCAAGACGGAAGTTCACCCTCTGGTTGATTTGCACCAACACTCAGATGCTCTGTAGTTTTTCTGACGCACAGAATGGAGTCTCTTGTAGTTCCTGGAAGCGTTAATGTCAGATATTCGTCGTGGTTTCTAAATCACCCAGGTTTGCGAGCTTGAATTAGTGGTATAAGAGACTTTAGGCTACCAAGTTTTGTCTTTCTGAGATCACAACTTCCTACTGTGCTCTGAACTTGGGCTTTTCATGGGCAACTCAAGTTCATTGACTCCTCAAATTACCGGAATACCAGGATTAGTAGAGTTAACGAGTCTGAGTTTTGTAAAAGTGCGTTGGAAACAGACACGGTGATATGTTTGAGGGGCGGTCACAAAGCACGGACAAGCTGATTTTCGTTTTGTTCATAACTTCTGCGCAAATAATCAAAAACGCCTGGGTTTCTTGTGTTAGCGTTAGCCAAGCTAAATTGTTTGGTAGGGGAAAATTCACTTTTGAATGGTCAACTATAATAAAGACACCTCACGAGTCTTGCTTGGGAAGAAAAAATGCACTTTTTTGCTGGGATAGTAAATTTTAATCTCGTCTTGCGGCACACCCAATGAGGTATTTTCCTGTAGGCCTGGTTTGAAGTAATGAACCTCGACGAGGTTGACACCCTCGCTTCGAGTTTTACGTGCTGTTTTTAGACTGCCTTTCCGTGCACATCCACAAATTACTGGTTGCTTGCAGAAAGTATGATTTAAGCATGTCCGTGTCTGCGTCCTGTCCCTTCATCTGAGGAAACAGCTTAAAACACCGGTTTTCTAGTCCCGACACACCAAGGTGGTTGAATTTGGCTCCAAGAAGCACACTGCTGATACCTCCTTCTGCTCCAGGCCTTCTCAGCTCGACTTCACTGCTGAGTCAACTAGATTGTTCTGTTAAACTTTCATTTTGTAAGGTGCCCCACTCGTGAGGAATCCCGGACTGGGTAGGACATAAGTTCTCAGGGAAACAAACCCTGCTTTCAGTGACGACTCGTTCGATTTGATAAGCTATCGATTAAAAAAGGCCTTTGTGTGCACTCAAGAGCTCTGATTTCTTCGGGCGTGTCACCTTCGCCGCCCTGGGAAACGGACGATTAGTTCAGCTGCACTTATTTGGCACACAGTTTATACTTACTTTAGCAGTAACCGGAGTTGGCCCATACCTTCTCCTTTTTTTCAAAGCCAATTACAATTGATGTAACTGTTGTTTATTTTGTTTAGGCGCCGGCGAATCGGGCAAAAGCACTATTGTGAAACAAATGAAGTGAGTTTTCATATTTCAACTTCCATGCTGTAACCTCCTCTTCATTACGATACCGCAATTCTGACATACAAAATCTACATTTGTGGAATTTTAACGACGGTAGACAACATGCACAGTAGAACAATAAACACCTGATTAGCTCATATTTAAGGCGGCAGTGAGTTAGCGTCGTTTTGAACGTATGTACCTGTCAGGTGATCACGTGTTTTGCCTCAGTTGTTTTTCTTTTTGAATGCATTAAAATTAGCCTGACAATCGTTAATCATTCTTGTTTTCGTGTTGCACCCTGCAATTTGTGTTGTCATTCGCATGGCCAAAGGAACTCGCGTACCTCCTCGTTTGCTTCCTTGTCCAGTGGTGATAAACCAAAGTACTTATTAAAGCCTGGCTACATTTGGGCGACTCGTGGCGTCGTCATTTTTGACGGAAGTTTTAAAAACTCCAGTTTGACCAAAGCGTCGACTGGGGGTGCAACTCATCGGATTTCTCTGTGGCATGATTCGACTGTTAGGCTGTTTGGTGAAATCAGTATGACGGGCTATTTACTTTTCGATAGAAGGAAATGCATTTCACCTTGCGACCCAGGCCTGTCTCCAACTCAGTCGTGTTAGCAATCTAACGACCGGTTTTCGTGACGGTCTTCTGTATGCTAGAAATTTAATCACCTCTACCAAGTGTGGTTTGAAAGAACGTGAGGACAGTAACCAGAAACCAGAATGAGAACATGCATTTTAAGTAATAAGTGATGAAAAGTCAACCTAAGAACGACTACTTTTGACTTTCTGGGATGATTACATGCCAAAACTTCGTGATTTTGAGGCCTAAACTTGATGGAGCTCTTAAAGCTGTTTTCCCAAAGCACAATCCATGTGGTAGTCCGCTAAGCTTGATCTCAATGTTGTATGGGTAAGAGACGCGGTACTAGAGCAGATTGCAAGCCCAAGTCCCTATGAAAAGATAGACTGTAGCGGTCGAATTTGTGACCTTGACTGCAGCTATTCACGTCCTATCTAAGGGCAGGAACATAGTTTATATAGCGGTCGATTCAGAAGTTATTAAATATATTTTTTGCCTTTTTGGAGGGGAAAAGCCTCTGTCTATTTATTAAACACAATTAGTGAATTTTTAGGAAAAACCAAACCACTCCGCCCTCGACCTGCACACTTTAGCCCTCGAATGTGCATTCAATGCTTCGATTCACTAAGTTTTGTGTAACCGACGCCCAAATACGCCACGGCAGTAGCCCCGTGTACAGTTGGTTTTGGTGCAAACTAATCAGATAAATTTCAGCATTGGCAACTATTACCTGGGTCGAGTAAATCACTCAAGAATACGCGTAGGCGTAGGAGGTGTGTCGTTGGCCTGCCTGTTTATGTAACGGGAATTAGTGATTAGTTAGTCGTTGGCCTACACCAAATGTGATTCTGGATGTGATTTATATTCACAACTAAAAGTGGTAGATCCAACTTGAGCAAAAGTGGGTGCCTCGTGTCGATTTCTTAGGCATTCACTAAGACTTAAATCAAATAATTTATTGTCGAACATCTTCATTTTTCCTCCAAGCCCCGATCACACTTAACTTCGCCCTCCCCACTCAGTAATTAAGCCTAAATCCTGTTCATACTGGGGTTCCAAACCAAGTGCTCATGAACTTCCTGATGCAGCCACACTAATCGAAGTATTTGGGCACGAAATATTTGGTTAACTCGGATTTTCCACATCATTTGGCCATCGACACCTGTGTTAACTGCCGCATTTCTCTCCTTTAAAAGCAAAATGAAGAAGCCTTAAGTGCGAACCCACACATTGATTCCAACAGCGAAGCTTCACTGATCCGTTAGTTGGCTCCGTTTTTTCACTTGATGAAGGAACAAAAATAGTCTATTTTACTGTTCCCGTACCAGCGTCCACTTCGTAGAAAAATTTTTTGACATGTTAACAAATAGTTGACAGGAGAGGAGATTAACCTCACAGCCTTTCCGCGATCAGTCATGCGGAATAGATAACTCTTACTGTGCCTCGCTTTAAGAGTTTGGCTCTAGGAAGTTACTGAACTCTGTCAAGTAGGAAATAGTTTGGTTGGTTGATGTCGAAATTTCGGCTGCTTCAGAATCATCCACGAAGGCGGTTTCACCCAGGAGGACAACAAACAGCACAAGCCTGTCGTCTACAGCAACACAATTCAATCCATGGCTGCCATTCTTCGGGCAATGAACACCCTCGGCATTGCCTTTGGTGATCCCGTCCAGTGCGTAAGTCCCTCACTTGCATTTCTTTCTGTATCCAGTCAAAGTCCACATTGGTTGCATCCTTCTTCATATTGATTGTCTGGGTATTTTTTTTGAATTCCAGTATCAAAAACTGCACAAAATTTATCGTTCTATTAAAATGACGAAAATCGAAAACACCGCTTTAGGAGGGGTACAAAAATTGGTGCCTGGAGGAGTACAAAATAACGCCACTTGCGAACTGGTGACTAAAATTAAAATCGAGTTTAATCATTGTCTTTTTGGTCAACTAGTTAGAAGAAATTTCACCAGGCAACATGGCTTCGCTTATTGCCTACCCTTTAGTTCCCTGTACTCGTAGTGTTCACCCAAATGGTAAGCGTCTCCGAATAGTCAAAACTATCTACTTTTTCACCTCTTTGGAGTAACATTGCACCCCCTGTTAGTAGTTCTCATTCGAAAGAAACTCACTCAGTACAGTTTATTGGGAATCGTTCGAGCATTTATTCAGATACAACAGTCTCAGACACTCCCCAAGATTTCCCAGGAGGAAAACAGTGACAGGCCAACAGGTGAACGAGACTTAACATCGATAGGGGTTGAACGAGGTACTCTTTTGATTTTTGTTGCCCCTTTTGTAGCCCGAGGACGCACGGGTGGTGAGTGATGTGATTCAGGCAATGCAAGACACCGAACCCTTCTCTGAGGAACTCCTGGAGGCCATGAAACGGTTGTGGGCGGACCCCGGCGTTCAGCAGTGTTTTGTGCGATCCAATGAATACCAACTCAACGACTCCGCAAAATAGTGAGCTATTTGGTGTCCAGGTGTATATATGTAAATGGCATCACACTGTAGCCCTAGTGGCTTCACCGAAATCGAACAAATCGAAGTCGGGCCTTCTCACACATGCTTATTCAAAAAATTTGGTTATATTTGCAACTTCGAACGTTCCATTGCTTATTGGTTGCTCACTGCATCGGTAGCGCTGGGCTGGTTGCATTGTCAGAGCAGAATTGACCAATCAAATCTAATTGACTAAATGATGAGTTCATTTAAAAGGCAAATAGTGCCTACCATAACTTGTGCTCAAGTGCCGAGTTACTAACAGCCCTCACTTAAATATCGGACGCAAAGTACTTTTGCTTAACTTATGCTTCAAATCTGGCCTCGTATTCATAATTAACGACCGATTTACTTTCCCGTTAAAAGTTTCCTAGATGATCTGGATCGATTGGGTGCCAAAGATTATCGACCCACTGAGCAGGATATCCTGCGAACACGAGTCAAAACGACCGGGATTGTAGAAGTACACTTTCAGTTCAAAAACATGAACTTCAAGTAAGATACTGCGTTTACTGGATTCGACTTAGAAACAGGCACCTTCAACTCCTGTGTTTACTGTTTCCAGACTTTTCGATGTTGGTGGACAGCGCTCTGAGCGGAAGAAGTGGATCCACTGTTTCGAGGATGTTACCGCGATCATTTTCTGCGTCGCCATGAGCGAGTACGATCAGGTGTTGCACGAGGACGAGACCACGAACCGCATGCAGGAGTCCCTCAAACTCTTCGACTCCATCTGCAA